AAGTTGGCCTATGTTGGCCCTATGTTGAGCCATCTTGGAGGCTATGTGGGGCATATGTTGGGGATCGGTTGGCTATCTTGGGCCTATGTTGGGGATATGTTAGGCGATTTATGTTGAAAAATCTTCCGATACAACTTTTTACGATTTTTTTCTTCCCGCAAAGCAAAAACCATGAAAAAACCTAGGTTTTTTGACATCGCCCAGATGAAATTCTCGGCCGCCGAGGGCCCCCAAACCCTGTAAAACACAGTGTTTTTATACCTCACACACACGAAACCCTGTAAATTACGTTGATATCAGTGACTCGGTGGTCCCCCCGTTTTGGTGACGAGGGTCGGCGGTTGGGGGGGCGAGCGTCTATAACCTTCGGTTACCACCGAAGGCCCTCCGGGCATGCCACGGGCGTCCTGGCCGGCGCCCGGATTTAAGGGCTGCCGCCCCTGCCGCCGACCCCGGATTCTCAGGTCCGGCTTTTCCTCCACTGGTTGGCATTGCGAGGGTTTTTCGAACAGGGGTTTCAGTCGTCCTTTTAAAGGTTGCTCTTCTGGAATCGTCGTTTCTTTCCGGTGTCGAGGTCGGTGCCCGTGCGGAGCGTTTCATTGCCTGCTCTCTGGATTGTTTGCTAGCATTTTCCACCACTAACCAGCCTCCCAAAAAGCATCTGAAACCACCCCTTCGCCACGGCTTTAACCCATTGAGTTCTGCTCCAAACGAGCCCCAATTCCTCGGACGTTCGGTGTCAAACGGACGCTCTGGATTCCTAGAAAAAAGACAATTTGCTAGCATTTTCCACCACTAACCAGCCTCCCAAAAAGCATCTGAAACCACCCCTTCGCCACGGCTTTAACCCATTGAGTTCAGCTCCAAACGAGCCCCAATTCCTCGGACGTTCGGTGTCAAACCGACACTCTGGATTCCTAGAAAAAAGACAAGTTGCTAGCATTTTCCACCACTAACCAGCCTCCCAAAAAGCTTCCACCAACAGCCTGCCAAAAGCTTTCCAGCCTCCCAAAAGCATCTGAAACCACCCCTCCGCCACAGCTTTAACCCATTGAGTTCTGGCGGATCTATCATTATTCCCTGGCGCGCTCCCCCTTGCGTCGGCCGGGGTCGGCGGATATGTATGCACACAGTATATAGGGAAAATCTGCAGGACACCCATATGGTTCTTGGGGGTAAAGATAGGTAAAAACCTACGATTTCCAGTAGATTCGACCCATGGGCTTCGGCTCAGTCCACCCAACACGTGCCGCTGCGACAGCGACACGTTTCAAACGCCACCGGCGACTGCGACACCGACGCAACCGCCGTCAGGATGGAGCCACGGTGAAGCTCGGCGGACTTGGGAGATCGGAGGGGCGGCTCCACCACGCAAGTGGAAGGCGTCACCGAGCGGCTCGGGAGGCCCTGAATTCTTATAAGGGGGATTGGTTAGGATGAGTCCTGAATCCTCAAACTTCAGAACGATGGCCTCCAACCAGAAAGGTATTGTTGGGATGAGTCCTGAATCCTCCAAAATCCTCAGAACGATGGCCTCCAACCTCAAGGGATTTGTTGGGATGAGTCCTGAATCCTCCATAATCCTCAGAACGA